AATCTGATGTAAGCTGCCGGAATAAGACTACAATCGCGGTTTAACGATTTAATGTGCAAGGATCCTTGACTAGGCTAACGCTGTTACCATACTGACGATTTTGTTTTTGTCTAGCTGCAGAGGTGTAGATAGCGTTTTGCTATATATATACATATACGTATATATAAAGATGATGTTAGTTTCGTGATGTTGAATGATGAAGAGCGAATTGAATCAGAACTCCCGGTTTCGTGCGAGGATCAGTGTTGTAATATAAAACGCAATGCATAGTTTCTTTAAGTCCATTTTTGTCTTTGGGATTTTGCATTTTTTGAAGATTATTTTAATTGGGATTTAAGTCATTTTGTGATCATTGTGCATTTTATTTTGTCGGGTTCCTAGTAAATTATTTTCAGTGAGACTTTTGCTACTTAGCGATCGTTTCATTCTGCATTATTTCGTATCATTTTTTTGTTTGTCTGGGTTTAACGATTCTTGTCAATTATTTTTAGTAGACCTACTGTTACTTTGCAATTTCTGCACAATCGCTGTTATCTTAAATTCAACTTCTGTTTTTCATTTTAAGCGATACAATTTAATAGGGGTATTTTGTATTTAACTTTGTTATAAAAAGTTAGTTTTTTTAAATTTATTAAATGTAGGTAAGTATAATAATTTGATCAATCGTTTTTAATTATAAAAAAATTCAAACAAAGCTTACCTTTAATTAATTTGCTTTTATTTTTGAGAAAATGAAAATAAAGTTTTATAAAATTTGGCTATTAGTTAGAACAAATATTTTTTTAAAAATTAAATAAAGAGTTTAGTAATGTTTTGACGCTTTTTAATAATTTAACATTAGTACTTAAAGTATTTTTTTTTTAAATTTTTATTTAAATTCTTTCAATACTTGTTTGTTAGATAGTCAGTATAATTTATATAATTTTGTTGTTATAATTTGTTAGATAGTCAGTATCATTTTTAAACAAATAAATCTTTAGTCGATTTTGTTTTCTAAAAAGAAAATAATAATAAATAAGTAAGAATATTTTTACATTTATTAAGTACAGAATTTGACCATTAGTTAATACTACCTTTTATTATTTTAAATAAGAAAGGGTCTAATGATGTTTTAAAAGCATGGGTTTTTTTCCAACAAATAATTCAAAAAAAAAAAAAAAAAAATTCATTTCTAAGGTGAACATTCCTTTGGTTAGTTTTCCACTTTCTTTCATTTTTAATGCATGTATGTAAAATATTTTGTTACAGTATTATTTTTATTCAATAAATCTTAAATCATTTTTAATTTAAGAAAAATGAAATAAAGGTTGGGTTTGCTTTTACTTTGACTTCTTTATTATTTTAATTGAAAAAATTAAGCAATGATATTGATGTCATAGCAGAATATATTTAGAATTAATATTTTCTTTTGTAATAGATTTATTCTTTTTTATTTATTTTTGATTGATGTAAAGATTTCCCATAAGTAATTTTTGAACATATGCTAAATCGCTATATTGCGATGTCTAACTGACGATGTATCACGATTTAAAATTTCTGACATCACCCAGTCCTAATCATAGTATTTGACAATTAAGCTGTAATTTTAATTAATTGGCTACTATTTTTGATAAATTTTTGTTCCTGTTCAGGCAACTATTTTCATGCTTGAGGCTACTAAAAGCAACTCTTTTTTTTCATTTTTTACTGTGGCAACCCTGAATACGTGAAAGAAAGAATTTACTGGTCATCCTGGGTTTTTTTTTATTCACTTTCAACTATTGTCTTATTTTAAGGTTGAACTTGATTGTAACCATTTTCTTGATTGTTTCAAAATTTATTTATGGCTATGAGAAAAATGTAACTTACTGCAAATTTTGCATGTTGCTTTCAAAGTGCGTAGCATTTTTAAAAAGTGCTTAAAGATGCTTATTTTCGATTTTCATTTTTTAAAAGCCCCCTTAAGGTGCTTTTTTCATTGGGTGTTTTTAAAAAGGGCTTAATTTTCCCTTTTCGAAAATGAGATTTCTTTTCTTTATTAAGTCGATTTTCACCATGTATTATGCAAAGCTTGCTTTTCACATTGTTCTATTCAACATTTTCACAATTTATTCAACCAAAATCTATTTTGGCGTCTCCTCTGTCCTTAGCATATGAAAGAGCTAATCATTTTGCATATATGATGAAATACTTGCAGATCCACATGTGCTTCTACTGAACTGGGTTTGGTGAGATTTTTGCCCTCTCATGTGCAACTCTGCTNTTGTAATAGATTTATTCTTTTTTATTTATTTTTGATTGATGTAAAGATTTCCCATAAGTAATTTTTGAACATATGCTAAATCGCTATATTGCGATGTCTAACTGACGATGTATCACGATTTAAAATTTCTGACATCACCCAGTCCTAATCATAGTATTTGACAATTAAGCTGTAATTTTAATTAATTGGCTACTATTTTTGATAAATTTTTGTTCCTGTTCAGGCAACTATTTTCATGCTTGAGGCTACTAAAAGCAACTATTTTTGTTCATTTTTTACTGTGGCAACCCTGGGTATAGTGCCAATATCGGCCTTTATAGAGCCTATATTGACTGAAAAATGAATATAAAATATAGGGTAAATCTGACAATTCTATATTGGGCCTATATTGGTTGTAAAATGTCTGGAGAATTGAACAATTCTACGCAGGTCGGAAAAATAATGGCTCTTTGAACTCTTATTGGGACAACGAGGTTATTTTGCTGATAGGGTTGTAATATTAATAGACTCTAAACAGAATGCTGTAACACACATGGGAGAAAAAACTTTTCTTTAATAATAATCATCCTGAAATTGCAATTTTTTTTTTTAATATTTTAAGAATTATTATTTTTTAATACTTTTTTTCATGTTAATACCATATAAATGAAAATGCATTTTAAAATGTTCATGAATTTTTTTCTTGATTTCTAAATCAGGATATTAATAAATCTTAAAAATAAAGTTCTTTACCCCTTAATAATTTTTTTTTTCAATTTTGTATGAATAATGTTAATTTTGAATCTTGATCAATTATTTATTTTAATAACACATTTAATTAAAAGTTGCTTTCTGGTTTTCAGACTTTGGATTTTGAAAATTTATATCGTTTTTATTTTATTCATGGTATTTCTGAAGTGAGAGGGAAAAAAGCTGCCTTGTTACACTTTTGAAGTAGCAGTTGAATTAGTAGTACTAATCTAGCTAGGTTATTGTGTTGTATCACAAGAGGTTTTTTTTTTTTAAATTTTTTGGTTTGTTTATTATAATAGTTTAAAACATGCTTAGAATTGCGGGTAGAGTAGTTATCGACAATGTCCAACTTCATCAATGAAAAATTGTTATTAAGTATTTGGGATCATTTAACTCTTCACTGCTCCCCTTTGCGTATTTGCAAAACTATTTTTGAATCGGATTTTCTCTGCTGACTTCTTAACACTTAACGATTGTCTTAGTGATTTACTTTTAGTCTGCTAGTTTCAACATTGAAGGCATTGTTTCTCCAAGTGTTGCTTCGTTAGCTTGACCCCTGACATTTTGGTAAGATAGAGAAAATTACTATTCTAAATTCAGCTGCTATTGCAATTTGACGCTTTAGTCATTTAATTTCGTATAGTACTTAAATTCCTACTACATTTTTTGACGATTGTGTTTGAGTTGTGACGATTGTGATTGTGTTGTTGACGATTGTGTTTGATTTGTGATTGTGTTGTTGACGATTGTGTTGTGAGTATTGCAAAGGTTCTATTGTTTTTATTTACGTTTGGTGTCTGGATTTATAACATCGTATATGCAGATATGCAAAGTGTCAATTTTTTGAGGAAGGAGACAATTTTTACATGTTTTTTTTTCTTCTTTCTTTCTTTCTTTNTTTTTTTTTTTTTTTTTTTTTTTTTTTTTTTTTTTTTTTTTTTTTTTTTTTGTATTCCTGACTTTTAAAATTGTGGAGTGGCAATTTAAATTGTTCAAACCGTAATGCCCTCAGAGCTATGCCAATGTAGGCCAACACCAACATAATGTCAAAATATGTACTTTTATAGATTTGTCTAACTTTAGGTAGGTATTTTATTTTTGTCGCAATAGGGCTGCACCATGAGCTATATGGCGACGGTCTGGAAAACATCCCCGAGGATAATCCGAAGACATGATATCACAACTTTAATCCTCTGCAGAGGGGATGGCCCCTTCGCTTTTGTAACCCGACGGCCTGTGCTCGAAGTCGAGCACTTTACGGGTAGAACAGTATAACGAGGGCCGATATCACTTACCCTCGGTCCCAACGTAGGCTGATCAAAGTGGTAAATGAGCTACACATTTGTAACTAAGCTTAGATGTAGTTGTAGTAAACTACAAGAATAATGTAGTTTTTCCGACCATTGAATTTTACCGTTACAAATTTTAAGCTAAGAGAAATCAGTAAAATAATACATTTTATGTAAAAAAAAAATTAAAAATAATAAATTTATTATTTAGCTTATTGATATTTTTCTTCTCCTTTTTCAGGCCCATTTCCGACTTTTTTTAAAATCTATTTTTCCATTGTCTATAACTGATGTTTGATTTGTCGCATATTCTTTCCCTTTAATTTAAGTAGGCGATCGCAACGCTCGAATACGGCATCTGATTCCATGCATTTGGACCTTCCCTCCCATCCTCTTTTCAGCTGTATAGGAATGTACTAGGATATTTTTGGTATTTAATTGTTAAAAATATTTTTTAAATTTCCACAACGCTTTCTTTTAGAACTATGTTTAATGTAGTTTTGTGTTTCATACAGTTTCCTACCTTAAAAGATTTTAATCTGTTTAAAAAATCAGGATATAAACTAACGTTCTTTCCCCTTCTATGACTCTCCACTCGCTAATGGTGAAAGCATGCGAAGTGTTTCCATAGGTAGAGAGTTCTGCTCTACGCCACCTGTAGCCCATTTTGATCGCCAATAGTAAAGCAAGAAACAGCACATTTTAGAATTTTAAAAAAAAATATTTATTAACAACAGTTATACAGTTGCTTCATCGAAAGTGGAGAAGTCGTAATAAAACTGATACGCATCTACATATCCCAAGTCCTTCATTTTTCCAGCCTTGGGCACTATTCCGACTTCTTTAAAACCTAATTTTCTGCAAAGTCTAACCGATCCTTGATTTGTGGCATAGACTAAATTGAAGAAGCTCGCCTCGTACCCCAGATCCTTGGCGATTTTGAGATATTTGGTGAACAGAATTTCGCCGATTCCTTTCCTCCGTTGTTGTTTGTGCACCAAAAATCCGGCATTGCAAATGTGAGAGGACCGACCAGGGTAGTTAGGCTTAACGTAGAAACCTCCTACTACTTTCCCGTTCGTGGATCTGGCAACAAAGACGGCGTCAGATAAATAGTACCTTTCAAACTGTCCGTGATCCATAAAATCTTGCGGATAAGTCTGACCTTCGTCTATTGCTTCCTTAAATATTTCGTACAAACCATCGTAGTCGGATGGCTTAAAATAGTCCAAAACAATAGTTTCATTCGCTTTATCGAGTGGTATTTCCATCGGTAAATATTCTACAAATTTGGTGGCTTTCTTTTGGACCACGTATGCCATGTTTGCTTCTGAAAAATTCATATAAAAATAAATTTTTAATTAAAGATAATTTAAAATAAGCTGATAATAATGCACATACAAGACCAGCAGGCAACAAGTCAAAATTTTTGATGGTTTTCCATTGATGGATGAACGTAATCTTGAAGGTAACCATCCATAATTCCATCAGGAACCATTATATTTCTTGATGGTAACTAACATAAGTAACCATCACCTCAATGTAGGAATTCGGACTAATTTATGAGGGTCCAATTTAAGAATAGCAACTTGTTTTAATGGTTTGTTCATGTTGAACCATCACGAATTTCCTTCAAACTTTCTTAGAAATCAAATGTTGGAACAACCATAATCCCAATGTAGAAATTTGGAATGATTTATATAATGGTACGACGTAAAAATAAAAAAAAACATTGTTTTGATGATTCCTGAGATTGAGTAACATTGATTCCTGAGAACTAACAAGAATTCCCATTTAACCATCACGGATAATCATGGATTGTTGGTCCATGAGAGTCAAACTTCTCTTGATGGTTAACCATCATAGTATTAATGTAGCATTTTCCATCATGGAATGATGGAAGTTTGTTGGCATACGTTAGTAATAGTCATGTTCTGAAAACCTTATCAAAGACTTTCAGAGTCAAGTCGCCTTATCAAAGTTTTTTTATCAAAAATTTTTACCTGTTTTTACAATTTTGTTTGCTGCCACTGTCCCAAACTAGAACGTTAAAAGATTATGCACCAAATATATTAATATAGGTATAATGCATTATATTGATATATTTGGTGATTATTATAATATTGATGATCTTACAACCCCTTGAAAGGGAAAAAATTAGTGGTACACGAGTTGGCTGTTAAGCACGACAAGTGATGAACGACAAAAAACGAATTTTGCTCAATTTAATAACGTACTGTAAAGCCATCGGCAACAAATAATAATCTATAACAAAGAGCCGCGATGGCTCAGGGAATAGAACGTTCACCTTCCAATGAGGTGAACCGGGGTTCGATCCCGGCGATGGCTGGTCGATACGAATTCCGCATCCGGCTAGCACCGACCACAGTGGTGAATATCCTCAGTGGTAGACGGATTGGGTCGGCTGTTCAACGGCGGTTATAAAATAAAATAAAATCTATAACAAAAATTGAAAACATTTTAGCTTTGTTATTTGAAGAATTTACTGAAAGAACTAGGTAAGTGACATTTTTAGAGAAGGATACGAAAAAAGGGGTATCTAAACTATTTTAACAACAATTTATTGGAAGACTGGACTAATAATTCTTTGCCTTATTTTATTTACCATTGCCTAACTTGAAATAAAAATCATGCAAGCATACGGAAAACATATGTGGATTAATTATGCTAATATTAAAGTTAAGGGGAATTAATTCTATTAGTTTAATCATACCGATATGCATGCAACCATTTTATATTATTTTCACTGATTCATGAATACTTCTAAAAATGTCGCTTACCTGGTTCTTCTACTAATCTCTTTAATTGTGTCGATATATGCCTTTCAGTTTTGTGTACGATTTCGAAATGTTTTTTAGTACTGATTAGTTTTTTTATTATTCTCCGAGTACGAAGAACGGGTATTTAGCTAGTGTTAAAATAAAAATTTAGTTTATTGTTGTAAAAATGATACGTTGGCTTTAGTTTAAAAGTTGAAATTTTGAAATTGTAAAACTGTTTGTCTTTTTTTTGATAACGTTTAGAGAATGTATTTAACACTATAAGACAAAGCTTTACTACAAATGTTTTGATATATTTTAGTTAAAAAAGCAAAATTAAAACTGATAGCACTGCACCCGTATAATGTACTAAGTAAAATTTGATAAGAATCGAATAAGATCTTGCAATTGCTGAATTTTAGTTTCATTTTTGCTTATATTTCGTGGTTTTATAACGAAAATTAATGCTTTAATTAAGACCAATAGTAACCGACCTAACCCCGAAGGAGTTTGCGGATAAGGGTTTCACCCGTTTGCACGTGAACACTACACAACTACAGAAAAGTAAAAGTACAAAATTAAAAAGATTGAAACACATAGGAAAAATCTCAAAATCGAAAAAATAAAATAAAAATAAAACAGTATAAAAATTAAAAGCGCTTAAAACATCAAAGTTGATAAAATAAACCGACAATAAAAGTGTCAAAAATGCAGGTAAAACATATAAAAGTAAGGTCAGGTAAAACATCAAATGGTAAAATATGAAAAACCGCATTAAGACTAAAATAAGATTAATAGAATAATTTAGTAATATAATAGTCGACTAAAAGTTCAAGTGTCTTCCTTTCAAGGCTAAGTGCCTCTAAGATTAAAAATGTTCTAAGGTAAACCAAAGTTTCACTAAAAGGCTAAACACACAAAGATGACACCAGGTAGGACAGAAGGTGCTGAAGTTGACCAAGAGCAAGATTTCATTTCGAATGTCCTATGTATAACGAAGATGCCAGTTCAAGGGGAGAACAAAGTCATGGAAACTGTAAGTGCCGAGGTAAAATATTAAAAGCATATATTTAAAACCAGAAAACCTAAATGCTTTAATTAATTTAAAACGTACTAAAAATATTAATTCCGCTTTCTCACCTGAATGTAGCAAATTCTGCGTGACTTTTTAAATCTGATCACAACTCGAAAAGCGCGTTTACGAAAATAGGCAAAGTTCGAAATGCACTCATAGGCAAAACTCAAATATATTAATTCTCCCTAAATTTCTGCTAATACCATTATAATTAAAAATAGTTCTACCAAGAATTCTTTTACATTTATAGTTTTAATTATGTCAAAATATTTTTGGGGAAATAATTTTTTTAAATTAAAAAAATAATAATAATTAATTAAAAAATTAAATTTTCAAAATAAAAATTTATGTCCTGAAAAAAAAAATAACGACCAAAAAATGTAATTTATCATCTACCCCTAATAATAAATCAAAATAATCAAGAGCACAAGGAATTCATATTCTATACTGTGAGTGACAAAAATGGGTGATTGTTGACAATCACACTGTCGCTTTGGTAAATGACCCAAAATATATACTAGGTCTAGTTAACTGCTACTGTCAGGTATACAATAAATACACTGATGTTTTTGTTAAGATTCTGTGTCACTGCCCGGTATACCTTACACCGATGTTTTTTTAAGGTTCTCCGAACACTGATATTTCTCCTAATCTATTCTCAGCAGATATTAAAGTATCGAATGAACATAATATCAACGAACAAATTAATATCAAATCGGATATAACAAATATTTCGGACATTCACCAACGCGACTATGTGATTGTCGACATTCTCTTGATTTCGATCGTTCACTGTATATATCAGTGATTCTCAACCACTGTGCCGCGGCACTTTTGTGTGCCGCCAAATTATGTGCCGCCAAATATTAAAAATGATACTATAAAAATTATAAGGCTTTTTTTTTTTTATTATGAATGAAGTTTAAATTAAAGAAAGTGTATACGTATATATACTTTTTATAATTTTTCCACGCTTTAACCGCGTGAACATCTTTGTCGGCGATTGTATTGTCTCTGACAATCTTAAAATAAGATGGAAATGTTTAAATTGTATATGACACAAAATTTTAAAAAATGTTGTAAGAGCTATTCATTAAAGTAAGCTATGCAATTAATAAACAAATTAACAAAGGATAACTGAAAAAACAAATATATAAAAAGCAAATTAACAAAGGATAGCAAACAAAAATTAAGCTAACAATTAATAATTAGCAAAAAAACTAGTTAACAAGAAATCACAAAAAAATAACAGTTAATAATTATAGAAAACAAGCTAACAATTAATAACTAGCAAAAAAATAAATAACTGTTACTAACTAATAAAAAATTAGTTGAAAGAAAAAATTAATCCCTTAATAAACGTGCTTTTGTAGTACATATTATTTTATTTCACATTCAAAATTATTATCACGAACTATTTAACATAGTGCATAACAGGTAATTAAACAACTTTTAATCTAACTTTTTTCATTGTGTGCCGTCAAATTTCGAAATCGTTAAAAGTGTGCCNTGTAATAGATTATTTTACACTTTAACGGGCTGCAGATCGTTATTCTATGAAATAACTAGTTAAACCATGAAATACAAGAGAGTTTTACACTTTAACGGACATGATCAGTTATTTCATGGAATAACTAGGTATTCTATAAAATAACGGATTTCATACTTTAACGGTAACATATATGTAGCATAATAAGGATAAAAAGAAAAGAGAGAAAAACGAAATATGGAAAATAATGAATAGAAGACTTATTTAGTCAAATTTAAGAACTTTTTTATGATTCGCAAGGGTTTAAAATGATGATCTTTATGCAATTCACTTAAAATTATGATCTTTACGCAATCAGCAGCTAATTTTATTATGCACACGCAAAAAAAAAAAAAATATTGCGCATAGTCTAACATTTAAGGTAATGTAGTTTTTTTTTAAAGAATAAATAATTTTTTTAGGTTATATATACATTAACAGCTTCTTATTTTCTCTTTTCCTTTTCTTACCTTTAAAGATTTCTTTTTATTTATTTATTTTTTGGAGGGGTAGATCACGCTCAATTTTATTTGTAGTTTTTTTTTTTATCCTAAATAATATGTAAAATAAATAAATAAAACAAATAAATAGGTTTTAAGCCATGAAGTGTTCGATTTAATTATTTATTTTATATTATTATTTTTTTTATAGCAGAAAGCTGCCACTATGATGAATTTTAAAAACTATGAACAATAATTTTTTAATCAGCACATATCAAACCGACTGAAGATATCAAAAATTTTTTTTTTTCTCATTTACATTGTCTTATTTATATTCGAGTGTAGCCTTTATAATTTTTCTCACCATTTATTGAAAAATAATTCTATTTTTATTTGCAAATTTATTTTTACTTTCTCTGTCTTTCTTAAGCAATTTACAATTTATAAAAACCTGTCAGATGAGTTATTTATTAATAAAATGTGTGTAAAATCGCGTCAA